TACATGAGTTTTAAAATATCGGCATATTGGATATCAGCCAAAATCCCAATATCGTGCATCCCTAGTTTGGTTACATGAATCCATATTTAATAGAGTGACTATAGGACCAGTTTGGCCTGGAAAAACGTTGAAGACCCATGATCTAGAGGTTTATCAATGGAATCCATTTAGAGGCTTTTATTTATTTTATTGAATTTATATCAATGTTTCTTTGTTCAATAGTTCAAACTGAGATTTGACAAAAAGCATTTGAATGCTTTAATGGTCTCCATGCCGTCCTCCCTGACCTGTCTGAAGCGTTCCTTGGTCTTCATTAGGCTGACTTTGTATTTCTGTTTTCTAAACCTCTGAGGCCTTCACAGAACAATGGGACTGAGTTTAATTAATGCAAAGATCAGGCAATTCTGCAGTCAACATGTTGCATGGGTGAAATGTTGGGAGTAAAACAGGGTAAATTTCAAATGCATGCATGTAGACTCTAAAATGAAAATGCAGCTCCAACTCAGATTTTAACCCTTTAATGCCAAATGTATCATATTTGATACATACGGTTTCTGAAATGTTTTGCATCTGACACCTTTTGCATAATTTAGATATACCTGATAACAGCCAGTAGAAGACTACACAAAAAATGTATTTCTGTTTTTTCTTTTTACATATTTTGTTAAAAGGGCAAATAAGGAATTCAAACCAAAAAAAAAAAAAAATAAATGTTCTTTTGTTTTATTCTTGGATCAGGCTTTAAAGGGTTAATACATTGCTCCAACAGGTAAAAACTAAGAGATATCTTAATTTATTAAATTTATAATTAAAAAAAAATGTATTAAATTACCAGTTGGAGCAATTTGATTAAATCGTACCTGCAATTTCTTTTGGCGTGAGAATAAATCAAAAGTTTGGGAATACTTTGGTGCGGTACTGTAAACAATGAGGAACCGCATTCTGTAGATAAACTTAACATGGAGGAGCTTAAAATAATTACATAAAAAAACAAAGCAAATTAGTCTTCTGGAAAATGGTTTTCTTTGACAATTGCTGTTTTCTCATAATTCTTTACTACAATGTTTCTATTGTTTTTTTTTTCTTTTTTGTGGGTTGTTTTACTTCCTGATCGAACCACATGAGGTATTTCATTAAGCCCTCTCAGCAGCTGTGGGAATAAAAAATGATGGGCGGATCCTTTTTTTAAGAAATAAATATTAGAGCGATGCTATCTGCTTCTGATCATCTCCTTCTGCTGCCAGACATCATTATGAGAAATACTCTCAGCTTAAAGACTTGTTCTGGCTTGCCTTGGATCAGATGCTGCAGAAATGCACACAGACGGGTAACCGACGAGCGCTAGATCCAAATTCTCTGAAAGCTGTCACATTTGGCTTTAGGAGGAGAATTTGCATGTAAAATATCTGTATAGGAGGTGTTCTAAACACTTGTTATGACAGCCTGGAACTGAACCAACTGGCTGAAGCAGGTTTTGGTCCTGGAGGAGTAACTATGTCAAATTAGAATCACTTTAACATTTAAAGCTCTATTAAAATACAGGCAGCCCAGTTCAATGTCTCATAGAGAAAATAAATAATTAAAAAGTATATTTTCACACCAGAAGGCAAATTTTTTCGATTTGCTACCTAAATCTTTGCAGAAAAAAAAAAGAAATAAAACAGAACAGCACCAAAACACACATTAAAAATGTAATTTATTCTAAAGTAGACATCTAATTTTTGCTATAGTTCGTTCTAAAAGGCAACCTCTCATCAACATGTGAAGACACTGAACCCTTGCTGCCGGTTTTATTTGGCAGATGTGGAAAAAAAAAATGTGATCTCATTTGTTTTGGGTTTATAAATTAAACCAAAACAGCTTTTGTTGCTATTGCTTTTTTAATAATCCTATCGCCTGTGCAGAGATTTACCAGGAGATCGTGTGAATCACTGTGACTCATGGCCATGTTAAAGCAGCTGGGTAGAAAGCAAAAACAAAAGTGTTGATGTGTAAATCTTTTTAGATGCACTGTAAGAAAAAAATCCAGCTTAGATGCCATTCCGATGAACCAAGTTATGTTTTTGGAAAGAAGTGTGCGAGTTTCTGTTGAAACTGCTGAAATGAAGTGAAATTCAATCCTAAACGATGCAAAAACTACAGCAGGTAAATCCTAGTGTTCCTTACTCAGATTACTAACTGCTCTTTTTCACCCCAAAATTTGGAATGCTGTGTGAAATGCAGGCTAAGACAAAAAGTCAGATCATCAAAACTGAATAGTTTAAAGAGACTTTTTCAACCTTTACTTTGCTCTTTCTCTTCTTTGTTTCTTTTTATTCTATAAAAAAGGGGAGTTTTGGTCTAGTGGTTAGAGCAGTGCGCTTGTGCTCTGAGATGTACCTGGTTCGATCCCCACAGCCTGCACTCTGGGTTCCTGAGCAAGACCCTTAACCCAACACTGTTCCCCGGGCACCACACAATGGCAGCTCTTTGCTCCCCAAGGGGATAGACTTTAGACAGATTTTATTTGTAATTTTGTTTACAAAAGTGTAAAACAAAAAGAAATGTCGTTTGGAAACAGCTCACTGTTCAATTTCATCTTTTTTAAAGTGCAGCCTTGAAAAATAGTAAAAATGACTGTAAATATACAGTTCTAACATATTTTTATTTTTGATGGATGGGTTAAATGCAGAGATTTAATTTCTCCATTGTGAAATCAATTAGGTCCAATATCAATCCTTTTTCTATAAGTGAAAGACTTCCCTGTTCTTGAATATATGTACAGTTGATCTTCAAAGTTCAATTCAATTCAGTTTATTTCTATAGCGCCAATTCACAACATGTCATCTCAATGCACTTTACAGTTCAACCAGATCATACAGTCAAATTGATTCAAAGTTTTCTATGTAAGGAAAACCAGTTGATTATATCGACTCATTGACTTGAAGGCAATCTCTCACACTAAGCAAGGTTGTAGCGACAGTGGAGAGGAAAAACTCCCTTTTAACAGGAAGAAACCTCAAGCAGAACCAGGCTCAGTGTGAGCGGCCATCTGCCGAGGCTGACTGGGGTTCAAGGAGACAGAAGCAGAGATACAAAAAGCAGCTGTAAAAGGCGGCCCCGTCCAGGAAACACACAGCCAGGCAGGCGAGCTCCGAGCCAAGTTGATATTCACATGTTACAACTTCATCTTTTGCAAGCTAAAAAATTATCATTCATTTCAAAATGACAAAAAACTGACAAGCAAACATATGTGTTGTTCTAAACTTTCTTAAAGAAATGACTTTTATAAAGCTTTCCAGCAGACAGTTTAAGGTTCTGTATCAAAACTCATTGATATGGATATCAATTAAACATCTAAAATGTGGTATTTTTACATATTTATGGTCAGTAGATGGAATAACGGGTTGTTGGTGTTGCTAACAAATGTCTAAGGTGTAAGATGTCTTTGTCTAAATGCTTTGGAGGTGTGTATAAAAGCAAATCTGCTGGAATACTGTGGGTCTATTAAAGTCAGAGGAATTTTTGTTTGGGTCTTGATCCTAAGATCTGGATCTTTGGAGATGCTACATCTATGAAACTACTTCCTTACAAAAGATATTTTGTTTTGCATCCTCTGCTGCAGAAAGGTATATACAAAAAAAAAAAAAACTGGAAATCTACAGCGCCTCCAAAACAGAAACATTGGATCAACAAGTTGTTGCTCCTAATAGATTCTCCAGAGATTTTAACATAATTTGATCAAACATTGATTGGTTGAACTGTAAAGTGCCTTGAGATGACATGTGTTGTGAATTTGGCGCTATATAAATAAACTGAATTGAATTGAATTGAATGACATTGATTCTGAGGGGCTGATTTATGTTCATTTCTGATCTCATTTCTGAAATGTAAGTGGTAATCTGAATTTTTTACTGCATGTATTCTTATATAGAGAGTGGGTGGGGCTTATCTTTATAGCAGTTTCTTTATAAAAATTGAATGCACAAATTTAAAATATTAATTGTGTGATTTCAACAAACATATCTATAAAGAGGATGAACTGGTTTCATGTTCATTTTGACCATAATTCCTCTTCCATCTATGTAAGCCCATAGCATGATGCTGCCACGTTTCCTTGACGTGTTGTTGCTCTGTTGATGATAAACAACACAATATAGTATTCTTGTTTTCACTGCAGCACGTGGAAAAGGCTGGACAAGAGCAGGTGTGCTATTACAAACTGCTTATTGTTTGCAAAAGCTGCACTTCCTTTAGGTGGACAGCACCCTTTGTGTCTTCGATGAAAACGTTCAACTAGGCTAAAGTCTGAACAGTAACCTCCTTATGTTAGCTGAAAGGCCAGGAATGCCATCTCTATGCATCATCTGTGGACAATGAGTTCAGACCTTTATAGTAATCCCTGAAATAAAATAAATATTTTTGGTCACAGTGTTACGTGGCATTATCACTTTAAGCATAATAAACAAACATGGATTAAAAAATGATAATAAACTATTTCCTTTGCTGAACAATGAGTCATTCTGACAAGGATCTCTCTTGTCTCCTTAGCATTACCCATCTCCTCCTTGGATCCTGTGCATCTGGTGGAAGGCCAGCCTTATGGTGTGGTCGCCTCCTGTCGGGCCGTAGGTCGTCCCCCCCCTCAGCTGTCGTGGGACACCGACCTGCCCGGCCACTCCCAAAACCGCACTAACGATGGTGGGTCAGTGTCCAGCCACTACTCGCTCCACCCGCTGCGCAGCATGAATGGGAAGAAGCTGGACTGCTTGGTGTGGCATCCCGGCCTGCAGAAACCACGCAGGATCTCTAACAACCTGGTGGTGCAGTGTAAGTATAGAACCGATGAAATAGACTCATTCAGATATCTATTATTATTGTTCTGCAGTGGGATGATCCTGTTAGTGAAGAGGAGTGATGACAAAGTCAAAACAAGGAAATGAAGGACTTTATTAAAGCCGTTTGTATTAATAGATATCCTCAACCTTTTTAAAGAAATGAGTCATTACTTTTAGTCATTTTGCTAAATGTTTAGTCATTTCTAAATTTGATCTTAAAGCCTTATATTGCTTTTAAAATACCTAGTATAAAGACGAGTGGGAGGGGCTACTACAAAAATGAATGAATTTTTAGTTTTATCTTGTTTGGTCATTCAAATGTATAGTTTCAGTCTGTATCAGTGGGCATAAGTATGTAGTTTTGTTTCAAAGATTTTATTAAACACTTAATGACTTTGTAATAACAAAACTAACACGTCTATATCTTTTTGTGAAATGAGTATTACTGAGGGTCCCATTATTTTTATCTACTCTGTAAAACAGTAAAAACTAAATAACATCACAGTTAACTAAGACAGGTTTATATTGCTCATCTTAAATCAGTAAAAAGCTTCAAGAAGCAGATCATGTTTAATGCTGGAACTCTAACAAACAAGGCTATAAAAGGATTGTTGTGTATCTTTACAGTAAGTAGTGAATATCAAAGCGCTCTGTTTGGAAGCTGCAGCAAAGAATAGTTATGCAAACCTGCTTGTTGTTTTTAGTAACCATCTATTTTTGGGGGACTGTTGACCTAGTGGTTAAAGCAGTGCGCTTGTGCTCTGAGAAGGTTGCAAGTACCCGGTTAGATCCCTGCAGCCTGCACTCTGGGTCCCTGAGCAAGACCCTTAATCCCACACTGCTCCCTGAGCACTGCACAGTGGCAGCCCACTGCTCCCCAAGGGGATGGGTTAAAATAAAGATCAATTTCTATCTTATGGTCACCAAGTCTTTATGAATTCTTGTAGACTCCATCTACGAGCTGACAGTTTTTTAGGGAAAACATAAGAGGAATAGTACATTTCTGTCCTACCATTGCAAAGGTTAACAAGAGGAGTTTGCTGAACAGTACAACTGGAAGCATTTGCATTATTCAAATGAGACAAAGATGGAGCTCTAGGTGATGTGGTGTAGAGAAAAAGCTGAATAAGGAGGAGCAGCTCTTGGCAGAAGGCCCGTGATGCTGTGGGCTTGTTTTTCTCCTAAATGTCCCAGAGGCCATTTTGGATTTTATGGTCTCTTTAAGCAGAATATTTTCAATAGGCGTCATCCAGAAAACTGTTGGTTAGTCATCACTCGTCATTCAGCAGGAAAATCAGTCAAAAAAAGAAGCCTAATTAACTCCCTTTAGTTAAGGATTGTGCTTTGAATTTATAGAGAATACAGCAGAGTGTCTGTAAAAATGTCATATCAGTAAAATTAGTCAGTAAAACCAACTTTGTTTGATGCTAAAAAAATTACTATTAAGATTCCCGAGTTGCTCAGTTTCAATGTCTTGTAATTTGGAAACAAATCTCTCTACATTAGAAGACTCAGAAAACATTTAAGTTTGAAATAATTGGTAGATAAAAAGAAATATTTAGGAAAAAATAAACAAGGGATTTTATATTTTTGATTACATTCAGTTCCTTACAATGTAGCCCTTTAGTTTGTGTAGTAGATATTTCCTGAAACACTCACATAAAACATGAACAACATCTGCATGGTTTGCAATATTTCATTTTAACCTTATGGATTCCTTTATATTTGCTCATTCTAACTGGACCTGGACTTTTTTCCATCATCTATTTTAAATGTGCTAATCTTCATTTCCGATTGTTTGCTTTAAGATGCAGTTTTACCTGCTGCTGCACCTTAAATAGAAAGCAGACGCATGTATATTATGTTTAAATGACATTTAGATGAGCGATCCAGCTCATAGCTGGATCCCTTAAGGAAATCTTTCTTTGTAATGAGCAGCCACCGAACCGAATGTTTTCTTCCTTTGCTAATGCCCTGAAAGCCTCCGGGAGGAAAATTGGTGTGACTTTGCTCAGTTGACTGTTCTTTTTTCTGGGCTCTATGCCAGCTTTGTTAAGATCTTCCTGTTCCTGGTAAATCAGCCTCTTTCCTCGAATTGTATTAATTCAATTATTCCTGTGGATATAAGTAAATGTTATCAATCAGACTTGGATTAATTTCCGGTGGAAAGCATGGATAGCCTCCATTCGTGACTCTTTCTTTATTTATCAGGCTTCTTTGGGTTTTACACGTTTTCTTTCTTTGTTTATGACATGATTGACTAGTTAAGGTGTGGACTTGACTCATAAACTTGACATCTATGGTGGTTCACACTCTGAATCACTTGGTATAATTTTGAGAAGCTTAAATATATAGATATTGTTTTTAAAACAAATTTACAGAAGCATTTTTTAAGCAGAAAGGTCTCCATTAATTGCATTTGCAATATAATTGCAATTTAATTAAACAACATTATATTTAACAAGACCAGGAGACCATTTTATTTATTTTTACTTTAGCACGTTAGGTTACAGTAATATGTTTAATGTTGGTGTGCTGCCACAAAAAAAAGAAAGAGAAACTTCAACGTAGAACACAGATCTATTCATGCAAGTAGAAAAAAGCATGTTTCCAAACAAAGCAACAATAGACTTTGGACAAGCAGGTTTTCAAGATAATCATAACTGAAAGCCTGGATTGAAACATCGACATGCTTGTGGTTTGTGCAAAGGAAATTCAAAATAAAAGCAGTGTTGCTAGTGTCTCTTGGAGCATTTTCATGCATGCTCATGAGCTTCAGGCCACAAACTGATGAGCAAACATTCTCCTTAAGGTTCTTCAGCTAGAAAGCAGAGCTCAGGGTTGCAGTATGTTCAGGCCATGTAGAAGTAAAGCCTCCCAGAGCATCACACTACCACCGCCGAGTGTTGACTTGTTTTTTTTCTGACCTGCTGCAAATTTTATGCAAACAGAAAACATGCCTGTGAGAAAGGCCTTTTCTCTATCAGACTTTTTAGCTTTGAATCCTCAATCATGAACACTGATCTGAGGAAAGGGAGCCTTAGATGTTGTTCGGTTCTTTTATACCTCTTGGATAGGTTGTTGGTTGTACCCATTTGGTAGAATTAGGACTCCTAAAAAGGTTTACTACTTTTTAAAATTGTCTTCATTTGTGAATAAAGGCTAGCCTGACGTAGTCCGACTCAATTCTAGTCAGAATATGAGTCTGATACTGCTCCATAGAGCTGTGATTATGGGGCGTGTTTCGAATGAACNAATGACATTGATTCTGAGGGGCTGATTTATGTTCATTTCTGATCTCATTTCTGAAATGTAAGTGGTAATCTGAATTTTTTACTGCATGTATTCTTATATAGAGAGTGGGTGGGGCTTATCTTTATAGCAGTTTCTTTATAAAAATTGAATGCACAAATTTAAAATATTAATTGTGTGATTTCAACAAACATATCTATAAAGAGGATGAACTGGTTTCATGTTCATTTTGACCATAATTCCTCTTCCATCTATGTAAGCCCATAGCATGATGCTGCCACGTTTCCTTGACGTGTTGTTGCTCTGTTGATGATAAACAACACAATATAGTATTCTTGTTTTCACTGCAGCACGTGGAAAAGGCTGGACAAGAGCAGGTGTGCTATTACAAACTGCTTATTGTTTGCAAAAGCTGCACTTCCTTTAGGTGGACAGCACCCTTTGTGTCTTCGATGAAAACGTTCAACTAGGCTAAAGTCTGAACAGTAACCTCCTTATGTTAGCTGAAAGGCCAGGAATGCCATCTCTATGCATCATCTGTGGACAATGAGTTCAGACCTTTATAGTAATCCCTGAAATAAAATAAATATTTTTGGTCACAGTGTTACGTGGCATTATCACTTTAAGCATAATAAACAAACATGGATTAAAAAATGATAATAAACTATTTCCTTTGCTGAACAATGAGTCATTCTGACAAGGATCTCTCTTGTCTCCTTAGCATTACCCATCTCCTCCTTGGATCCTGTGCATCTGGTGGAAGGCCAGCCTTATGGTGTGGTCGCCTCCTGTCGGGCCGTAGGTCGTCCCCCCCCTCAGCTGTCGTGGGACACCGACCTGCCCGGCCACTCCCAAAACCGCACTAACGATGGTGGGTCAGTGTCCAGCCACTACTCGCTCCACCCGCTGCGCAGCATGAATGGGAAGAAGCTGGACTGCTTGGTGTGGCATCCCGGCCTGCAGAAACCACGCAGGATCTCTAACAACCTGGTGGTGCAGTGTAAGTATAGAACCGATGAAATAGACTCATTCAGATATCTATTATTATTGTTCTGCAGTGGGATGATCCTGTTAGTGAAGAGGAGTGATGACAAAGTCAAAACAAGGAAATGAAGGACTTTATTAAAGCCGTTTGTATTAATAGATATCCTCAACCTTTTTAAAGAAATGAGTCATTACTTTTAGTCATTTTGCTAAATGTTTAGTCATTTCTAAATTTGATCTTAAAGCCTTATATTGCTTTTAAAATACCTAGTATAAAGACGAGTGGGAGGGGCTACTACAAAAATGAATGAATTTTTAGTTTTATCTTGTTTGGTCATTCAAATGTATAGTTTCAGTCTGTATCAGTGGGCATAAGTATGTAGTTTTGTTTCAAAGATTTTATTAAACACTTAATGACTAACAAAACTAACACGTCTATATCTTTTTGTGAAATGAGTATTACTGAGGGTCCCATTATTTTTATCTACTCTGTAAAACAGTAAAAACTAAATAACATCACAGTTAACTAAGACAGGTTTATATTGCTCATCTTAAATCAGTAAAAAGCTTCAAGAAGCAGATCATGTTTAATGCTGGAACTCTAACAAACAAGGCTATAAAAGGATTGTTGTGTATCTTTACAGTAAGTAGTGAATATCAAAGCGCTCTGTTTAGAAGCTGCAGCAAAGAATAGTTATGCAAACCTGCTTGTTGTTTTTAGTAACCATCTATTTTTGGGGGACTGTTGACCTAGTGGTTAAAGCAGTGCGCTTGTGCTCTGAGAAGGTTGCAAGTACCCGGTTAGATCCCTGCAGCCTGCACTCTGGGTCCCTGAGCAAGACCCTTAATCCCACACTGCTCCCTGAGCACTGCACAGTGGCAGCCCACTGCTCCCCAAGGGGATGGGTTAAAATAAAGATCAATTTCTATCTTATGGTCACCAAGTCTTTATGAATTCTTGTAGACTCCATCTACGAGCTGACAGTTTTTTAGGGAAAACATAAGAGGAATAGTACATTTCTGTCCTACCATTGCAAAGGTTAACAAGAGGAGTTTGCTGAACAGTACAACTGGAAGCATTTGCATTATTCAAATGAGACAAAGATGGAGCTCTAGGTGATGTGGTGTAGAGAAAAAGCTGAATAAGGAGGAGCAGCTCTTGGCAGAAGGCCCGTGATGCTGTGGGCTTGTTTTTCTCCTAAATGTCCCAGAGGCCATTTTGGATTTTATGGTCTCTTTAAGCAGAATATTTTCAATAGGCGTCATCCAGAAAACTGTTGGTTAGTCATCACTCGTCATTCAGCAGGAAAATCAGTCAAAAAAAGAAGCCTAATTAACTCCCTTTAGTTAAGGATTGTGCTTTGAATTTATAGAGAATACAGCAGAGTGTCTGTAAAAATGTCATATCAGTAAAATTAGTCAGTAAAACCAACTTTGTTTGATGCTAAAAAAATTACTATTAAGATTCCCGAGTTGCTCAGTTTCAATGTCTTGTAATTTGGAAACAAATCTCTCTACATTAGAAGACTCAGAAAACATTTAAGTTTGAAATAATTGGTAGATAAAAAGAAATATTTAGGAAAAAATAAACAAGGGATTTTATATTTTTGATTACATTCAGTTCCTTACAATGTAGCCCTTTAGTTTGTGTAGTAGATATTTCCTGAAACACTCACATAAAACATGAACAACATCTGCATGGTTTGCAATATTTCATTTTAACCTTATGGATTCCTTTATATTTGCTCATTCTAACTGGACCTGGACTTTTTTCCATCATCTATTTTAAATGTGCTAATCTTCATTTCCGATTGTTTGCTTTAAGATGCAGTTTTACCTGCTGCTGCACCTTAAATAGAAAGCAGACGCATGTATATTATGTTTAAATGACATTTAGATGAGCGATCCAGCTCATAGCTGGATCCCTTAAGGAAATCTTTCTTTGTAATGAGCAGCCACCGAACCGAATGTTTTCTTCCTTTGCTAATGCCCTGAAAGCCTCCGGGAGGAAAATTGGTGTGACTTTGCTCAGTTGACTGTTCTTTTTTCTGGGCTCTATGCCAGCTTTGTTAAGATCTTCCTGTTCCTGGTAAATCAGCCTCTTTCCTCGAATTGTATTAATTCAATTATTCCTGTGGATATAAGTAAATGTTATCAATCAGACTTGGATTAATTTCCGGTGGAAAGCATGGATAGCCTCCATTCGTGACTCTTTCTTTATTTATCAGGCTTCTTTGGGTTTTACACGTTTTCTTTCTTTGTTTATGACATGATTGACTAGTTAAGGTGTGGACTTGACTCATAAACTTGACATCTATGGTGGTTCACACTCTGAATCACTTGGTATAATTTTGAGAAGCTTAAATATATAGATATTGTTTTTAAAACAAATTTACAGAAGCATTTTTTAAGCAGAAAGGTCTCCATTAATTGCATTTGCAATATAATTGCAATTTAATTAAACAACATTATATTTAACAAGACCAGGAGACCATTTTATTTATTTTTACTTTAGCACGTTAGGTTACAGTAATATGTTTAATGTTGGTGTGCTGCCACAAAAAAAAGAAAGAGAAACTTCAACGTAGAACACAGATCTATTCATGCAAGTAGAAAAAAGCATGTTTCCAAACAAAGCAACAATAGACTTTGGACAAGCAGGTTTTCAAGATAATCATAACTGAAAGCCTGGATTGAAACATCGACATGCTTGTGGTTTGTGCAAAGGAAATTCAAAATAAAAGCAGTGTTGCTAGTGTCTCTTGGAGCATTTTCATGCATGCTCATGAGCTTCAGGCCACAAACTGATGAGCAAACATTCTCCTTAAGGTTCTTCAGCTAGAAAGCAGAGCTCAGGGTTGCAGTATGTTCAGGCCATGTAGAAGTAAAGCCTCCCAGAGCATCACACTACCACCGCCGTGTGTTGACTTGTTCTTTTTCTGACCTGCTGCAAATTTTATGCAAACAGAAAACATGCCTTCCAAACACTTCCACTATTGTTTCATCAGTCCACAGACTATTTTTGAGAAACGACTCAGTTTATAAATGTGAGAAAGGCTTTTTCTCTAGCAGCCTTTTTGGCTTTGAATCCTCAATCATAAACACTGATCTGAGGAAAGGGAGTCTTAGATGTTGTTCTGGGTTCTTTTGTACCTCCTGGAAGGGTTGTTGGTTGCACCCAGGTGGTAGAATTAGGACTCCTAAGAAGGTTTACTTTTCAAAATTGTCTTTATTAGTAAATAAAGGCTCCAGCTTTGGTAAACTAGAGTCTAAGGCCTTTGAAAGGTCATATTGTTCTGATAAAGTAGGTTCTGAATAAATATTTTTTTTTATAATCCTAAGTTAAGGATCTTTAAACTTCCAGTTTAAGAATCTTAAAACTCACCGGTTACTTAAATGTTAGTAAATTTAATGGTTATCTTAAATTAATAAAAAACAAAACAAACATTGCAATATCCAAAGGGAGAAATCTGTCCGGCCTAAAGGTTTTAAAAATGTGATCCATCCTTTAATCATGTCATCGCTGTTGATTTAGGCAGACCTTATCTGTGCTTTTAATATGTGTGTAAGTGTGACTTCTCCACCCTTTTAACTTTGTACACTTCTAAATATCCATGGGGTTTGGGTTGATTTTATCATAATATCCTTTTTTCAAATATGTTTTGTTGTTGTTTTACGTGCCTATTTGTCTTTTTTTTTTTACATGTACTTAGAAAAAAAAAAGGTTTTCGCTCATTTGCTAAATATTTTTTCTCATAGTTTACTAAAAAAATAATGCTTTCTGTTACATTTTTGCTTGTGTGATTGTTTTGTTTCAGACCCCCCAGATCCCATCATCTCCACCCGTACAGACTACTGGTACATTGGACTGACGCAGGCTGAGCTGGTGTGTGAAGGCAGAGGAAACCCTGAACCTCAGAAAGTCACCTGGACATGGTAGCGTCATCATAACATACAAACCACTATTTTAGCTCCGACAATTACACGTTAATCTAGCTCCCTGTGCTACTAAATAGCTCTTTACACGCTGCTGGAATGTGACTAAAAACGCATATAAGCCACCCTCACTAGGATTACACAGAGACACAAAACAACGTGTTTGCAGTTGGGTTAAATGTGGGATCTCCTTTTCTCTTCAATTTTATGTGAAATTCACAAGCAGTGGTGTCGAGTTGCAAAAAGTGAAGTGAGATATTCTTGGAAGGGAGACTGTTTCACATGAGGGATGGAACCAGCGATATGAGGAAGAGCAGGAGACGCATGCTAAGCACTTAATCACAGAGCAGCGCTTTAAATATCACTCTAATGTCTGCTAAAAACACAGGGTCTGTGCTTTAATTAGAGACACTGTAGCAGCCATTACATCTCTGCATCTGCACTCTGTCGTCAAAAGCTGGGTGGAGAATCTTTAAACAGAGGGGCGATCCTCAGATATCAATAAGAATTAAATCAGGAGCCAGATGTGTCCCAGCTTGCTGACCTGCTTTGGAACAATAATCGGATATAAAAATATGATCAATCCTCTTATATTTCAGTGCAGGAAAAGGTCTGCCAAACTCCACCTCTAAAATCTAATCGGATTTGTCTCCAAGAAAACAAACATTGTTTGGGCTGAGGTTGAATGTTAGATTGGAGACTTACAGAGGAGCAGCTGAATCTTGTATATATTTCTCTGCTTTTAGGTATTAATGTGGAAAAGATGTGCTTTGGTGTCAGATTAGCTCCCAGACATAAAGCTTTCAGTTCTCTATGCTTAGACATAATAGAGGTAGAAACATTACAGACCTTATAGATTTAGATCAATTGTTATTTATTATTCTTAAGCTTGAGGAACCCTACATTTGTTGTAAACGTGTATTTCTCTTTAGATTAGAAATTAAGTGTGTCCTGGTAAAGATGTTACTAAAATAAAATTTAGCCTTTTACCCAAATCTGACACTGCAACAAAGTTAACAAAGTTTAAGCAATGGATATGGCGGAGGACGATTTTAGTTACAATGACTATTGGACTGTGTTTGAGGCGAGTTGAGAGAATCAAACTTAGCTCCCGTGTTCTTACTCTTTCGCAGTCTCTTACTTAAAGGTATTGTGAAGGATTTTCGTGATTTTTTTTAAAAGACCCACCCTCTCCATTTAAAAAAAAAAGTACATGTACAACCCTGTACCCGTTCCCGAGAGGAAACGTCTAGCATGCACAAGACCATTTTTCCTCGTGCATACTCTGTTTAAAAGTTGCTGTTCTCATAACTCATAAAAGCTTACTCTTCCCGAAGGTCCTACCTTACCCCACTATAAAGAGCGGGGACTAAATCGTGGACTTTATAGTGAACTGCGGCTGGCTAGCTCAAGTGGTAAGGCACTTGCCCGCAAACAGGAAGACTGGGTTTGTATCCCAGCTTGGGGGAATAAGCTTGGTGTACCTTAGGCAACACCCTTCATGCTAATGCCTGCTTTGGGGAGTGGCGGTCTAGAGGTTAGGGCATTGTGCTTGGAGTTCTGAGGTTTTGAGTTCAAATCCCACTCCCACAGACTGCCACTGTGGGTCACTGCACAATGGCAGCCCACTGCTCCCCAAGGGGATGGGTTAAATTTAGAGAGTTAATTTTGTTGCTCTGTACTTGTGAGAGTGTAATCACAATAAAAACGCTAAAAAATAAAGAACTCACTTAACTTACCATTTAAACAGATGACCACTGCTTTTTGCTACCTGTTGGTCACGTAACTTGTGCTCCACTGTGTGGTGCCTGCACCATCTTTGTTATTAGTCGCTGTGACAGCATATCCCATAATGCTTTGCGAGGAGAGCTCTCCGCGGAAAGCATTCCGGAATATATCTGCCTCTTCTAAGGCCTTTCTTTTCTTCTCATACACTTCGTAGACACTTTTTCTCTTACGACCCTCGGTCACTTTCAAAGAACCGTGGTGAGAAAGTTTGAGCTTCAATGACTGTTTGAAACCTTAGCACACCACACATATACGCCTGAAAGTGCGCGTGCAAGAAAAAGATTGCTAAAGGGACGAGCACGTAGTATGGCCTTACGTAAACATGTCAACAGAATGATTGACAATTAGGAGGACCACTTAGATGATCCACCCGGAAATAAAAGATCATCCTCTATACCTTTAGTTACTTTAAAAGATTTTCTGTACACCATTAACTCTTTTTTTTTTTTTACTGAAAGTGACAGACATTTTAGGATATCCTTCATAAAGGTATAAAAATGTAGATGTACTATAGTTGATATTCATGTTCTCCCCTTCGGGAGAATGTTTGTGTCCTTTTGGCTGCTTTCATATTCAGGTCATGGCTAGTTGCTCATGACTTGAAGTTTTTATGTTGGATTCTCCTAATGGGATTAATAACCCAGGCCCCCGGCATGAAAGTCAAAGACTAAAAACCACTAGTTCCAGGATATAACACTAGCTTATCAGAAGATTTGATAAAACTTAAATGTATTATGCAAAAATACTTTTTAAGACCCTATATTTAGATCAATAAATTTAGTAATGTTTGCAGAAACCCTGATATTTTGTCATAATTCTCTGTAAAGTAGTAGCCATTCAAAATGTCCTCACTTTCCTTGACTTGTCCCCTACAATTCCTTTTTAAACGTCAATCTTTGTACTAAAATATTCTTTCTGTCATGATTTGTGGACATTAAGATCTAAAGAGAAGTGTTATCACCTGGTCAGACCCTGTAATTCAGTGAAAGGGTGGAGTCAGAGTGAAAAAATGCACTCCAAGGGGAAGGCTTGGAAGTTGTAGGGGATTCTGCTGGGAGTTGCAGGGAAGTGGGCTGCCATTCTGCTGTTGTTTGACCGGGAGGAGCCATTTTGAATGGCTGTTACTGTAAGCTTGCTATAAAAGGGCTTTGCTGCTCAGTGCAAACTTGGCTACCTTAATAAAGCTACTATATCTCTAACTGAGGCTCAACACCCCAATTAGATTTACCTTTATAATTTTCTCCATAGGTTTGAACAACACATACAGCGACAGTCTTTTAATAAATTTGTGTTTTAGCTAAGGATTTAGCTAATGCTAGCATGTTGGCTCTCTGTTCTCACGACAGTTCCAGATGATTACATATCTATACAACTTAAAGGGAAAAAGTTTCTGTTTTACATAGATGGAAATCTATTTTTGGATACTAAATGTTATACTGGTGACATTCTCTACACACAGATCTATGGTCAGTGCCGTAGGCTAGCTCTTTCACTGTAAACTTAGTAGAAACAACTTTTATTTCAGTTTATTTCAGATGAACATATGATGATTTGATATGTAGCACAGTTTTGTAAGCCACACAGACAAAAAAAGGTGCCATTTTCTAGTTTTTTTTACTACCCGGTACAAAAAAATATCCCAGTTTTTTGTGTTGTTTTTCATGGAACAACGTTCCCACATAATAATAAAAAAACTTTTTGGGTACATTAAGTAATCATGATTTTCAGTGTCAGGTTTATTTCACATATGGTGCTGAGAATTTTTTCAAAGGAGAAAAACATTTGGCTCAATCTTCTAGCTTTTATCTACATAGAGATTTCAGGTTCCGTATGTCGCTCCCTCCAAACAACAAATCAGGATTTACTTGAGGTTTTTCTTCTTTTTCTAACTGCTTCTGCCTGGTTGCCAAAGTCCTATTTTTATGATTATCAGGCTGTATTTTTTTTAAAGAAAATAACTGTTTATCAAGTCGAAGCTTCCTTAAATGTTTTACATTCGCATTCACATATTGATAGTGGGATGCTACAGTGTAGCCACAGCTGCACTGGGGCAGAATGAGAGGCGGATCCATGACCACCAAAAACAGGCAAGGCGAGTGAAATGTCTTTGCCAAAGGACAGACCGACAGAGAACTTAAACCGGCAACCCACCGGTTATAGAATAAACCCTAAGCTGAGCATCCTTTGCCACCTAGCTCTTTATGTAAGATCTAAGCTGTCTTGCTGAGGCCTTTTGTTTAGAGGACGAAGGAAGTCTGTTCATTTCATCAAGCTTTGGTTTTGGAACGAGGAAAATGTCCCCTTTTTAGCCCAACCCTTTTGGATCACAAAAAAATCCTTTAACTAAAGGGTTTGTGATTTTTATATTAAGACATACAACCAGACATAATCTGCAGTAGAAGAGGTCAAATTGAAGTCCTGATTAGCCATGATTTAAAGACCACATAGAGGAGCTATGTAGAGAAACATTTTATTAGTGTAGTGTAGTGTAGTGTAGTGTAGTGTAGTGTAGTGTAGTGTAGTGTAGTGTAGTGCGGAGGTCTTCAACAGGGGGTCCGCGACCCAAAGGGGGTCCACAGAGGTACTGCATGGGGGTTGCAAAAAGTTTTGGTTGATTAGACTTTTTTTATATTCCCCCCCAGCAATTTTTTCCACTAATTGAAATGTCTTTAAATCCACATTAACATAAATTCAACACACTGTATTAAACAGATTAATTCGAGGCAGAAGATGTCTTTCAGTCATCAATGCACACATTCAGCGACACACAGGAGCTCTTTGAAGCTGGGCACCGTTTCTTTCACAACACCTGTCCCATCAACCAGGAATCAGAAATACTTTAATAATCCCAGGGTGAAATTACTTTCGTTACATGACTCCATATTTAATAGAGTGATTATAGGACCAGTTTGATATAACACAATTTCATTCCATATATATAATTAAGGGGTCCCTGCTCCATCTCACTCTAGGTTTGGGGGTCCTTGGCCTGGAAAACGTTGAAGACCCCTGCTATAGTGTAGTGTAGTATAGTGTAGTGTAGTGTAGTGTAGTATAGTGTAGTATACTATAGTTTGGTGTGGTGTAGTGTAGTGTAGTGGTCTTTGTATTAGCTTTACTGAACAAACAGCTTCAGGTTTCCTAAGAAATACTTTAAAAACACAAAAACTGTTTGAGGCATTTATGGGGCCTTCAGAGGATTTAATGAAGGAATGTAAAAGAAATTTAGGGGGACAACAAGGAAAATCCAGAGAGACACCAACCCTACAGACCATCAGGACACATTTTGATAGTAGGAACATCAAATATATGTCTAAAAACCTGATTTTTATCTATTCTTTGGATGATAATAGACAATTACCTGGTGTAATGTGATGTGATTGTATTTATATTACTATTTTTTTCTTTTTTAATGTTTTTATTACTGTTTTTCAAGGCTGCACTTTAAAAGATGAAATTTTCCAGAGTTTTTTTTAACTAAATTTATTTTTGTATACACCCATGTATACAAAATGACAAAATAAATCTGTCTAAGTCTAATGTTTGAAAGAAGAACGTGGAAATTGATTTTGAAATTAGTGTGAAGCATCCAGTTTGCCAATACAGTTTCCCTCTCACTGAAAGACACTTTAGAGAAACACGCTGAGGTCTGGAGAAGAAACTCAGAACTTTAAGGTTTACAATATACTATGAATGACCTATAAAGACATGAATATTTTAAAACCTGACTACACCAAATGTGGAGCGCAGCCGATCATGAAAATCCCAGAGAGTCGACCAACTCAGCGTTCATTAAACATAGGAAAATGTTATTTGATTTCAACCATGTATTTTGACACTATCCTATCCAAACAGACACACTATAGCTATTGGTACACATAATCCAACCTTTTGACTGCAGTGTTTTATTTAGTGCCTTGAAATTAGTATGACTTATAAACATTTTTTTCATAAGGTTAATTAAAAAAAATATTCAAAACAACATTCTTTAGCTCTTTGCAGAAGAAATGTTTTTCATATTGTCATGAAGTTTAACTTCTTCATCTCAGTGATGGATATTTACTCCTGTAGATTCTTACATTAGATATTCAGTGTTACCAATTAAACTTGCATGCATTATTTGAAAGTAAAATTAAAAAGGGGGCTAAAGTCAAGGTGTGATGTAGGATCTTCTTTCTGCAAGGAAACTGTGTTAAACTGTTCCAACAACTAGTCAGTAAAAAAAGCTAAGTACTGGTTTTTAGAAGCATGAGGTCATTTCTAAACCCAGAAATTTGATTGCTTCACTGTTTTTTATCCTTATTATGACGCTGCTGCTGTGAATCTTATATGTCCTGTTGTAACGCTCTGTCAAATGTTTGGTTTCACCTGCTGCAGTAACTCTAACCCCGATTGTCCTGATGTGCTGATAATTCACTGTCAACGATAAAGTAGCTAAAGGTATCTTAGTCCAATCCCCAGATTAGAATCTTTTTTAGCTGCTGATATAACCTCCATGTGTGACTATCAAAAAAAAAAAAAAAAAAAAGGTGGTCAGGGCACCTAGGTGGGGCTTTGAAGAACGAAACACGAGCCTGCTCCATTTTTGGGGGATAAAGCGATGGTTAAATAGCTCAACTGAGCAACCTGAACCGTCTCTGTGGACCTGATCAGAAACTGGCGCTCCATTATGTGGCCTGTGATGCCTCTTCAGCTGCACAGTCTCCACTCTGCTTACAGCCACCAATGCATGTGTTTATTTAGCCTGCTTGGATGACTAGGTAGCAGGTTTTGGTTCAGACGCATGTAGTTTCGCTCTATGGTAACTCTACAGTAATCCTTAAGTGGAGTTTATTCAGGATGATATCTTCCGTGATGTAAACCAACAGTGTTCGATACTGTTGCTTAACTCAGACAATACTGGAATGCTTGTTTACCCTCTGCCTCCTTTTTCATTTTCCATCTGCCAAAATGGGCCACGCCTTTTTTTTGTTTCAAGTGGTGACTCATGCATTCTCTATGGTTCACCTCTCTTTGACATGAGAATTAACTTGATATGTTTTTGCTCATCCTTAGGAGAGGAGGAGCTCTACCAGATGGTGTGTCCATAGCTGGAGAGAAACTCATTTTTGGACGGGCCATCAGGCTGAATGACAGTGGCGTCTATGAGTGTTCGGTCAGGAATGATGTGGGGTCTGGAAAAACGATGTATACCTTAACAATATCAGGTACCATTTTGGAATCTCTGGTTTTGTATGTATGAAATAAAAAGGAAACAACATTAGATACTTTAGACTTGTATGAGTTTGCTGCCCTCTGGTGCTGAAACTAGTGCTTGAATATATACTTAGTTGAGCACAGGATAGCAAAGATAAATAAAAAAGTGTTAAAGGAAAAGTCCGGTCAGCAAGAAATAACCAATGGATCATTATCTATACCTCAAACTAATACGTTGGCGGTGATTTAATGAATTTAGAGTTAATCAGTGAAAAAATAAAAACATGATGACTTGGATAATAGCGCGTTGTGAAAAAACACCAGACACAGCACTGGGACTTGATCAACAGCCGATTCAGCACTGTGACGTCACAAACCAGTAGGTGGCAGTAGCGTTCTTTGACAAACATGGATGTCTCCAAACAAGCACATTCAAATGAAAATTAGTCTTAATTAAAAACACTTATAATTTATTGAACGGTATGTAATAATTTCATATTTAAAGTACTTTCAGAGGTTTGAATTCTGAATATGAGCGGACTTTTCCTTTAAATGTTTTTCCACCTTTACTGATACAATCAAATTCAGACAAGAGAAGTTTGTTTTAAGCAAAAATGCAACTTTAACATCTTTTTTTTATAAATGCCATTAAAATGCAATGGGATAGCTCAAGTTTAGTATTTAATAAGGTGGTTTCCAAGTTATATTTAAAACAAAATAAAGTTATGGCATGCATGTGTATTTATTATAAAATTTTTTTATAGAATATCAGTCAATAAAATCCAGTTCAATGAATTGTCTTCGGACTTCAAATACATAGCACCTACATTTTATTCACAATGTAATAAAGGGTCGCAAAAGTTTTGGTTGATTAGACTTTTTTTTTATATTCCCTGCTGCAATTTTCTTCACTAATTGAAATGTCTTTAAATACATATAAACATGAATTCAACGCACTGTAGTAAATAGATAAATGGAGGCAGAAGATGTCTTTCAGTCATCAATGCCAGTGGCGGTTCTAGACCAAATGTACCAGGGGGCCAGGAGGGGGCCATAGTGTTTTCATGGGGGCAAAGAAAAGCATGATTTTATTAAGAGAGCTGCATGAAATGAAATTTCTATTCAAATAGGTTTAATAAAAAATATATGTCTTATTAGGTCAATATAAAGTCATAATCTTGGAATTTTAAGTTAAAATTACAGTTTTCTATAAAATCTGAATCAGAACTCAAGAAGAACTGATAAATTCAGCTGTAAAAGTTAGAGCAATTTGCAGATGAAAACTGGGATCCTATTTCAGTACCACTGAATCTATCACCTTATTGTTTTTAAATAATTAGTAAAACAGAATTTGTAAAGGGAAAAAAAATGAAATAGATCCAAAGGACCTATCAGTAACCATGTCTGTTCAGCGCATATCATCATTAGAATTTCTTTGAGTATTATGTCTCCAGCACAGGGGCCTTAACAGGGGCCAGGACATGTTCTACAGGGGAACTGGCCCCCGTTGGCCCCTGTCCAGAACCGCCCATGATCAATGCACACATTCAGCGACACACAGGAGCTCTTTCAAGCTGGGCAACGTTTCATTCACAACACCTGTCCGATCAACCAGGAATCAGAATCAGAAATACTTTAATAATCCCAGGGTGAAATTACTTTCCTTACATTACTCCATCTGTAATAGAGTGACTATTGGACCAGATTGATATAACACAATTTCATACTATATATAATTAGGGGGTCCCCGCTCCATCTCACAATCAGTTTTGGGGGTCCTTGGCCTGGGAAACGTTGAAAACTCCTGTAATAGATGTAAATGTAATATATTTAACAGGTAATATTACTTTTGGCACTTTAGCCAAGTTAATTCGATATTTATATATCTAAATAACATCAGATGCAATAATCAGGAATCAGTCCTTAGAGTTTCCATAGCAACTGACAACAATATCCTCAGCATAGAGATTGTGATACCATCAGCAGCACTCAGTCTTAGAGAGACCATGTAAAGCCTCGAAGCCTTGAAGCATATCCTTAGTGACATCAGGTAATGATTAGCGGCAAAATATGTTATAATCTACTGAGTCAAATGCTTTTAATTAGCCTGTAACAAGTGCGGTAGGTTTTAAAGAACAGAAAAAGGATTAAACTTCATTGGGTGCACTTATAGTTCAATGTTTGTCCCTTAAACCAGACTGATGAGGAGGTGGAATACAGTATCACATGGTTTTTATTCTGTTGGTCATTTCCAAGCTTCTTAAGCTCTGACGTAGAGTTTTAAAGGTGAAGCAATAGTTATTTAGATATAAGGGTTTGTTTTTTATTGAATAGGAGGCTTGAAAATATTTGACACTGGTTTGCCTAAAATAAATGTGCTTTTAAAAGGGAGATTAATCAGCAGCATGTAAATTTCCTCTCTTAGAGAGACCTAGAGGAAAACTCGATTTGAACGAGCCTGGGGACAACCTGCTGCTGATCATTATCGGTACTACAGCCGGAGTTTTGGTCCTGGTGCTGGTCACAGCGGTCCTGGTCGTCCGATGGCATCATGGAAGGAAAACCAAAATGCTGAAGATGGAACTTCGGGAAACGAGGTGAGCTGTACCTGCTTTCCTCTTGCAGAGTGATGCAAAATGCTTTAAAGCACTTAACCTTTTCTATAACTCTGCATTTTCAGTCAAACTTTTTGTGTTTTATTAAATAGTCTAAGTTTGCTGCTTGTGTTTTCTTGTTTTTTGTTTTTCCACACAGGGATGAAATCGATACGCTTTCAAGACAGGCCTCCTTCAGGAGACTCAACTCTGCAAGCTCAGTTTCCCGAATGCAGGTACAAACACGCGTATGATACCTTTCTCAGTGAGATCAGTAACCCCGGTTACCGGAGACAAAGATCAGGTCGGCATACAGGTCCTGTTAGGGTGGAGCTGGCAGGCTGTCGTCAGCAGCTGCCACGGAGGCCAATGATTACACGTTACTGCAGCTTCAAACAAAGGGACACACAGCTATGACGGAAAGCTGTTATTAATAGAACCCTAAAGGAACTCAGTTCATTTTTAGGATTTTTACTAAATGTTTCGTTTCATATATACTAAATGTATTTTCTTCATATTTCCAGCCTGAGGATTATGCTCTGCTCAGAGTGGACAGCCGTACTAAATACAGCCAAATGTCTCTGGTGAGTTTCAAAACATCCTGAATCAGTGAAAAAAGATTAAAGATATTAAATTGTGCCCCTTAAAGGATGACAAGAATTATGTCAAGAACTCAGAATATTAATTAAGTTTCCAAAGGGTAAAGTTACATAATAATCCACACAGAACAAAATAGAAAATGCATCAACTTTAGCAGGCGGATGCACACAGATGATAGAGATTTAGAGTAGATTTCAAAAAGAAGAGAAACTCATTTTAGGGCAGTTTGATTTTGAGAAAAGTCACTAATATTTTTGTTTATTTTCACAGAAAAAGAATAAAGAAAATCTAAAATAGCTCATAGTTTTTCCCTTTTTCTTGTATTGAGGATTGCAGCTCACAATAGTTGTATTTTCTGAGTTAAAAAGTGTGAAAGAAAGCAGCCTAAAGCTGTTAAGTAGTGAGGAGATACCCTACTGAACAACAAACTCTGATGTTACTACGATACATGAATGCCACCAAAAAGAAAATAGTGACATCACAGCAGTGGTGGACGAAGTACTCCACAGTATATTTGAGTAAAAGTATTGGTACTCCTAGTCAAATCTTTCTCAACTACAAGTAAAAGTTGCTCAGTCAAACATCTAAAGTTAAAGTATTGAAGTACTCACTTTTGAAAATACTTAATAGTTCAAAAGCACATGCATTTAAAAGTATTTCAGTATTAAAAAATACAAATGAACTTTTCTAATATCAGTACGTTTCTGAGTAATTTACAGGAACCTGTAACTTTCAGAAACCACCTGATATATTGATACGTAGAACCTCTGCTACAGATTCTATACCACCTGTAAAGAACTTCAGCATAAAAATGCCTAAAAAAATGACAATTATTGTGATAAACATTTTAATGAATATTTTACGTGTTATTTCATGCATTCTGAGCTATTAGTTGTAAATGCTTTAAAACGGCGACCCGGTGGGTTTTGAGAGGATAAACTACAAATAATATCTGCCCTGAGTTTCTCACATTTGTGGAATGTCATGCAAATCTCTTAAACGGTGGCGTTCTAATTCAGTCCTAAGTGCTGCTATCTGCCATGTTGAAATTACATAAAAAAAAATAGAGAAACAGCAATAGCGAATTACTAAGCTAAGCTGAGCCAAAAGGAACAAGTAAGTAGCAGCTTTCTAGAAATGTAATGGAGTAGAAAGTACGACAATTGACTTTGAAGTGTAGCGTAGTGAAAGTTACAAGTAACCCTCTAAAAATTTATCAAAAAAGTACTTAACTATAATAATCCAGTACATTTACTTTGTTTCTTTCAACCACTTCATCCAAGGCTCATACATTAATAGTTCATAAGATAAAGATTTAAATTGTGGGATCTAGAAGAAATGCTGCATGACAACATTAACCTAGAGACCTAGCAAACCAGCACCATAATGTGGGATTTAAAAACACTAGTATATGCCAGAGTGGTGTGCAGCTTCTTTCTACTTGATGCAAAAGATCTAAATAGGCATCATTTGGTTGGAATTGTTTAAGCCTTTATAACTATGTGACTAAAAAACTTTATTTTAGTGCGACATGCAGCAGTTGTCTGCAGCTGGAAGCATCACTCTCCTCCTCATCAAGTTTTAGGGTTAAACTTCCATACTATAATATAGCGGTCAAAAAGTTCTGTTATTAAGGCACCAGCTATCACACCACTAAAAACTAGCCACAATTATTTACACTGTTTTGGCCAAAATGATAAATCAACTAATTCTGGGTAAACATGCAGCAGAAAATATATGTTTTATTTAATTTTTTACTTTGAAAAGTTTACAGAAGAATCACAATTAAATCATTGCAGTGTAACACATTTACTTTACCCAACAATGCTTTCTATTGAATCGATGATCCGGCTGTCGAGCTACACTGGAAAAAATTGAAATCTAGATAAGTAATTTTTTCTTAAAATAGGTGCATTTGTTCTTGGATTGGTGAGATAAAAGAGACATTTTGCCAATGGAACAAGATAATTAATACTTAAAATAAGAAAACACAATTGCATTGTCTTATTTCAAGTGCATATAAACTAATTATCGTATTTTAAGAGTAAAAATACTAATTTCATTGGCAAACTATTTCATTTACCTACTCAAATTAAGGGTAAATACACTTAATTTCAGAAATGTTTTGCTTATTTCTAGATCGTTTTTCCAGCGTATCGTCCATGGGATGATCTGTGTATGATCCTTCTATTTTTCATTCTCAGATTCCTTCCCTCAAAGCAAGTTTTTTCATTGAATAATAATGCTGGGGTAAAAAGTGTTTATAATAAAGAAGCAGTTATCGGAGCATGAGGAGAAACTCATCCTCCACACATATTTTAATTCAAGATAAAAGATATTCGGAGAAAGTATGAGTTCACACTAAATCATTTAATCTACTGATAGTAAGCTGCTTCTAATCTACTTGACAGATTTCTATTTTTGTTTTGGCAGTGTTTTGCTTTTATGTAACAGATCTGCTAAAAGCTAAGTCTAATAGTTTTTTAGAAAGTTATTTAAATGAGAGAATACAGAGTATTATTAGAGAACATTAGTGACACTTATCAGGTATACAGAAGTGGTATAAAGCTAGGTTCGGCTGTAAATAACCATTAAACATATCTAAATATTGACTGGTGTTTGGGTTGTTTCTCTAAATTTTATAAAATACATTAAAGTTGGTGTTTTTAATGTGCGAACTGTTGTTAAACTCAAGATTTATGAATGTTTCAGCAGTTGGTGTATCTGTGTTATAACTTCCACCTCCCTGTCTGCAGGACCGCACCGCCCACAGGTGCAGCCAGTCCACTTTGGCTGAGAGGTGGGGACCCGCAGCGGATGTAACGTGGGATGAATGCGGGCGTCCCGTCGTCTGGAACGTTGAAACAGAGAGCATGAGAGTCAGTGAGACGAACAGAGAGAAGGAGCGTAGGAAAAAGGTGGAGTCCAATGTGAAGAGCAGCAACATGTCGCTGGTAGGAGTCACACCTGAGACTTTAGACTGAAATGTAGTTTTGTTTATAGATGGTTTGATAGAGATGAGGTGGGAAGACAGTCGCAGACAAAGAACAAATTTCTCCAGATTTTTTTTACAATTGGATGTTTCAAACAAGCTTTCAATTCGATAAAGAAACAATTCAGCATGCAGTTTTAAAAGAATAATCTAGTTTACAAAAGAAAATGTGTCAATCAACCTGGCCCTATGTGCAAAGCAAAAACATTAAATAGACTAAAATATAAACTCTAAAATTAAACATTTGTAGTTCTAAAACGGTTTGCTAATTTGCTTTGTAGGGCTACAACTAACAATTTATTCTGTCGATTATTTGTTCAATTAATCGATTAATAATTTGAAAGCAAAAGGTTCCTTAAAGAAGACTTTTTGAGAAATTAAACCAACTGAAAATAAAGATTTTAGTTCTGGATAGAGCATACTGACAGATGCAAAGATTTTCATCCTAAATGCAAAATATTTATATATTTTTTTTACTATTGTGGTATAATTGTTGCTCAAGGTGGGTTGACCTGTTTTAGAGTCTCTATACTCCAGTTAATGATTAATCCATTACTGAATCAGTTGATGATTATTTCAGTAATCAATTAATCAGATTAATTGTTTCAGCCCTAGTGCATTGAATTGCTGTCCTGCTGCGTCAAACGGGGACGCATCAGCTCAACTTTTGTCTTCGAGGTTTACTGCTACAGTGCAGAATTTATTGTACCAACTATTAAAAAGATCCTAAGTAAGGAAAGTAGCCCCAGAGCATAACAGTGTCATGTTATTTTTCCTAAATGCTTTTCAAATTTATGGCATCTCCTCCAAGGTTTTTGTTGATGAGCAACCTTTTACAGCTGCTTTTTGTATCTCTGCTTCCGTCTCCTTGAACCCCAGTCGGCCTCAGCAGATGGCCGCTCACACTGAGCCTGGTTCTGCTGGAGGTTTCTTCCTGTTAAAAGGGAGTTTTTCCTCTCCACTGTCGCTACAAGCATGCTTAGTCGATGAGTCGATACAATCAATTGTTTTTTACTTAGAAAATTTTGAATCAATTTGACTGTATGATCTGGTTTAATTTTTTTTTTTTTTTTTAGTGTTTGCGGCACTAGTGGCTTGTTTTTTCGATAGTAGGCTCACAGGAAAGGGGGAATGAGGCAGGGGGAGAGACATGCGCAAAGTACCACAGGTCAGATTCAAACCTGGGTCGGCCGCTAACCACTGCACCACCTGCATGCGCAGATGATAATGTTGGTCGTTTTGTGATCCCATGGATAAGTGATTGATGCAAGTCCGTCAGCAACCCCTAACGAGGCTCCCCAACATTTGATATAATCTCAATCTGTAGATAATAGTTTTTGCTGTAGTTTGCAGCAGTCCGAAACTCTTTTTTTTTTTCTTTTTTTTTTTTTACAGTTTGCAGCTTCATTGACTTGATGGCTTTTTTTCTTACCTGTCTCTGTATTTCTTCAGACTGGGGTACTATTACATATTCCTTTTTAAGATCTTTAAGCCACCTTCATATTGTCAGACAGGATCTGTTTAAGTGATCTTTATACAGATTTTGCAATAATCCGTTTTTGATTGTGACTAGTGAAAATTAACCAAAAAATGAGCTAAAACCTAATGAGGAAACAATGAAAATCAGGAGACATTTAGGAGTAATGAGGAAGATATTTCTACCCCCTACTGTATATTTTATTCCTTTTTGTGTTATTTCTTCCAGGATTCTGGTCTTCCTTCATCTCTGGTTCCCCTGAAGAATCAGCAGGATGAAGCTAACGGTTGTAAGGAGCCTGACCTGGGCCACCTGCAGGAAGGTGGCTCCCTACCAGAAGACGACTCGATGCCTGAATCGTCCACAACAGATGGGCAGGAGGATTCTGATGGAAATAGTTCCCAGCACCTTTCGAAGACTCTCAGCAAAATGTTTTATGCCAGAAACGGGGTCCTGAGGCCCATCGAGAGACCCACTGCCATTTTGCTGCAAAGCAACCAATATTACAGACCGCAGATTATCTGAACCTCAGACTTTCTATCATCATTTGAACATGTGGAAAACCTGCTGGCCTTCCTGCACTGACAGACTGTGATTTTTGAATGACCAAGTATTTAACTTTTATGAAACAGAACACTAAAAAGGACAATTGCAGGTGTTGTTTAAGCTCCATGAATTCCCGTCCATCACAGCAAACGGTTGCTTTCTCATTTAGCTTTACCTCTGCCCCCAAACTGCCCATAGAAAGAGGTGATTGCAGTTACATCTGCTTGTTTTAGAGTCTTTTAGTAGCTGGAATATGTTATCTTAAGAATGTATTTTTAATAACAATAAGCCTCTGCATTAGTGCTAGGCTTAAATATGGGCAATGTGGCTTCCTGCCCAGGGCAACGTTCTAAAATGGGGAGGCACCGGCACTCCAAAGAAAGAGGGAAAAGAAATAGTTCCGTCCGTTGGACTTCCAGCTGGTTTTCTGTTGCTAATTTGCATGTGAAATAAAAAAAAATGGGCTACATGTTTTGCACAATGAAGGCCCTGCAGCAAAAAAAAAAAAAAGGGCTGTTCACTACAAGAGGTTGATAAAAGGGCTTTTTCATTATTCATCAATTTTCCAAGTTTTATATTGAAACTAAGTTAGAAAAAACGAATTTACTGGATTAATCAAGATAAATCAGAGATTATTTGAAGTGTAGTTTAAGGATCGCTCTACTGTTGCTCTGCAAAAACATGAAGCATTCCCCCTTTTTTTTTATGAGGAATTTGAGAAGCTTCTGAAGGTTTACTTTTGGATAAGCTTTACAAATAATGAAATAATAAACCTTTTAGCCGATCAGCATCAGATTATTAGGTTATTATGTTACACAAATGGAGATTAGATTGCCGTTTGGTAGTCTGGATGTACTGATCAGATATGGGTAAAAGATTTTTTTCTGCAAGGAATAATACTCTGACGACTTTATTATATCATAACTTTAATCTCATAAAATTCTTATTTCTTTCTGGTAATATTATGAGAATAAAGTCATAAGAGAATGACTTTATTCTCCTTAATGCTTTCTTCTTTTAGTCTCGCCCTAATGCTCCGTTATAGTTTCCCAATCAGCCACCTTTTCAGTCGATCAAGTTGAAAATCAGCACTTACAAAAACCACTGTAATTAACGAGTGTTTATTCTATTTCTTTTTTGTTTGTTTCTCAAAATCATAATTTTAAATGGTATAAATGAGATTTTATAACTAATAATCATACTATGCATAATATAATATAGTAAAACCAAGAATAATTGCTTCTTTTATGTGTTAAAATAAAATGTATTTATACATTTTGTACAAATAGAAAGAAATTAGATCATTTTTCTAGCCTGAGCCTCTAGTTTACTACACAGTCATGGAAATAATTATTACATGCCCTTTGTTTTTCTCAATTTTTCATCATACAGGTATGTTATCTGAATAATGCAATGAACAAAAAAGAGAAAACAAAGATGGTTTAAGGATTTTTTTTTTCTGACTGTATTTACTATTACATAAACTATAGTCTTTAATGTAAATAATTAGCTAAATGTAAATGCTTTGTTTTTCTATGGGTTAAACAGGTTTTGAAAGCAAGTTTTTTTTCCTTAAAATATCCGTTTTGAATTGTGTACAGGATGCAATTTTCCCCCTGCAGAATAAAAGCAGTGTTACTGACTTTGCAATCAGCAGTCATGATGCCAATGACTCATAGGTGTGTCTGCATGAGAAACATCAACAGCTACCTGCAGGAACCAAAGGCTAAAAGGAGGATCTGGGATCAAAAGACTCATCTGGAGGAAAATGTTTTTGTCTGGATTTAATGGGGCAGAACTGGAAAACATGGCCGACTGTAAAATGATCACTGATAAGCGGCTGGAGGTTTTATTTACTATGAAGAAGCTCTGTGGATACAGTGGAAGTTGTTTTTATGTCTTCATGTGAAACTTTCATTAAAATGACACCGTATGGGATTTTAAACATAGTCAATAAGAGGCTGTTAAATTGCACTGTGGTTCTGTCTCATCATTTTCCATTTAATGAAGCTGTTTATTTAATATACACGCATCACAGGTTATTGATTCACCTAAGAAGTTACATAATTGACTGCAGGTTGGGTGGTGAAAAACAATAAAGACGAAGCAGCAAGATGACCTTTTAGCTTTATGTGAAATAGTCCATTGACGTCTATAGAAATGCTAAACCTTTTCTCTATAGTGCACCCACTTTAATCTGCTTCAGTAGGAATAAAGGTGAAACCTCAAACCACATGGGCTCCTACGTGAGGTGGTTACTCCAAATTTCCTGCTGATCCACACAAACTCCACTAGATAAATCCGTCTTCAATGTAGAGCTTTTAAATGGTCATTAGGATATAAACCCCTGTACTACTTAACCTCAGGTCTATCCTGCATGCAGGCAACCTAGTGGTTAAGGCATAGAGCTTGGAATTGTGAGGTTATAAGTTCAAAACCCACTCCCACAGACTCCACTCTGGGTCTCTGAGTGAGACCCTTAACCCCTGATTGCTCCCTGGGTGCCACACAATGGCAGCCCCCTGCTCCCCAAGGGGATGGCTTAAAATGCAGAGGTAAATTTCTCCAATGTGAGATCTATAAAGTTAAATTATTATCATTTCATCCCTGCCTCAAAGGCTTCTTTTAATATTATCATTATTATGGATCCTTTATTTATACAGGCTAGTCCCTACAGAGGTAAATTTCAATAACGTTTAATTATTATTAGAGGCTTTTAAAGTCATGAACTGCACTAAAAGGCCATTATTTCCAGGAAATATTGGTCCAATATATGCAGATGTGTGAGGAAATACCACCTTCATTTAAAATGATATACAGTATTTCCAGTCTTTATAAAGAATTAGGAGTTGTTTCAATATAAAGGAGGAAAATATTGATCCTGCCTGGTTAATCAATGGATTAATAAGCGTAATATTGAAATAAATGAAATACCTTTAGCCTTCAAAGCCACTGGGCTTTAAAAAAATTTTTCTTGAGTATTCCCATTTTTTAAAAATCAATTTAAACACAATATTCCATGCATTTGAGCATTTAAGTTTTTTTTTATAAAAAAAACCCCCAAAGCTATCAGAGCATGGGTGGCTACTGCTGTTACATTTTTTTGTGTGTCTTTGGTACCAGATTAGATAAAAATGAATTCCTTAAAAAGTATTTGACCTTTTTAAACGTGACTAGAAAAATCTAGAAAACGCTATCTTTGCTGTAAGCCAAGTAGGGGACATGTTAAAGAATATCTCAGTAAATACTTGGAATTTATTTCTGTTCATAGAAATAGAACCCATTTAATCCAACTTTTACATCACAGTGAGTTACTGTAAACAGTTCTGTTAAAGTCTACAGTGAAGGTCTGTTTTACAGCGGGGAGACGTGGAGTTCCTATCCCAGGGTTTCTGCTGGTCTTTAAAAATCATTAGAAGTCATTAAATTATTATTTTTAAAATTACTAGTTTTTTTTTAAATAATCTTAATTGGCATTAAAATTCATTAAATGTGATTACTGTGGCATTTAAAATGCTTTATTTAAAAAAAAAAAAAAATATATATATATATATATAAGAACAATTTCATCAGATATATTATATTGCAATATATTTTTGCGGAAGGGGAAACCGAGAGGATGGGAAAATGCTAATTTCAACAAAAGTGGCTGGAAAACGAGGATTTCGGGATATTGCTGTCCGTCGCTGGTAAAGATGATGGATATTTTATATATATATATATATATATAGTTACTCATTTCTGTATAAACGCTTTATACTATTTTTTCCAACTTAACCTTTAATTTGAAAACATTGAAAGAGTTATTTTTAGCCAATCAAAAATAAAAGGTCATTGACCCATGTACAGCGCTTCAGTTCAAGTCCAGCACTAGTTTACAGTCATGATTGCAGGAATGAAAAGTCTTTTTCCACACATCACTCCCTCCATACTGTGCTGGTAAGTGTAATTAGTCCTAATTTAGCACCATCAGAGTTCCAGCTTTGTTTGCAGGGGCAGGTTTCAGTGAATGGCCATTTTCTTATAGCCAGCTTCTAAAGAGCAGCACACATCTGCATTAAAACGGAATAAATTACTATTTAAATATGTGCTGAAAACTGCAATCAAGTAAAGACAAGAAGAATGAAGTGTAAATTGAAAGAAATTGAAATACTGGTGCATTTTTTAGAACAGCTGCAGCAAAGTTCTTGGTCTTTTTGCATGGAGTTTGCATGTTCTCGCTATGGATGCATATAGGTTCTCTCCAGGACCCTACTGGGGGCTTTTTAACTGCTATTAGTGTGTTTTTCTGCGATGGACTGGAAACCTGCCCTTGGTGAACCCACCGCCGCCCATCCAGTGATCATGAAGAAGGTAAAGACATTGGATGGATGGATGTTGGAGGTATCAATAGCTGTTATTGGACGAGTCTCCAACTACAGCCACATTAGGTTCTATTTTTCAGAAAATCCAACATATCTTTTTAGAAATATTTAGTTTTGTTCTACTTCATCACCAAGTGCAGAAACATTAAATGATAGGGGTTATAATGAAATGACATATTCTATCACATTTCTGTTTAAATCTTATTAGATATTGGCATTCTAATCACTGTTTTGGAGTTAGCATGAAATGTACTCAAAATAAACCATAAAATATTTTTTTTTCTTTCATTGAAAGGAAAAAGTAGAACAAACCTCTTGGTTTTACAAAACTTTACCCTGATTTTTTTCTCTTCCATTCATGGAGCCAACACTGCTATCCTACCATTAGCTCTCCTGTCACATAACTGATGTGGTTGTAAGAAGACAAATAGTGAAAAGATTAAAACACCCCCAACATGAACTGTTCTCCCTGCTGCCCTCTAGGAAAGGCTTTGCAGCATCCGCTGCAGGTTCTGCAACAGCTTTTTCCCACTGCCACCAGGCTGTTGAATGCCAAACTGGACTCTGCATCATTGTTTTTGCACTACCAATGTGACTGAAACTTTTATCCTTTTAAACAGAACCCATTTATACCATTATTTAAACTGGTTTCTTTTTTTTGTCCAACTTTGTGTATGACCTGATCACTGCTACACCTTATATTGGTAATATTTATCTTACTCCAACTACAATATCATAACACTGTTGTAAGCTGTATGCAACACAATTTTGTTTTTTATACACTCTGTGCATAAAAAAATGACAATAAGGTTTAAGTCTAAAAGTTACATTTTGTGGAGAAAATGACAGTGATACCTAAGGACAGGTGGTCCTTTTATTAAAAAAACAAACAAACTAATATCTTTCAAGCATTATACTTCTCATTAAAATAAGGAAATTGTGCCATTTTCTAATAAAGTTGCTGTTGAATCAAATATAATTTCAGTCTAGAGGGACTGAGAGTCCAAAACCTGACCAAGGAACTCTATTATTATATATACTGTAATTTAGCTATTATTTCTTTGTAAGTTTGTCTTTGTGTCTAGTAAG